GGGGGGGGGGGGGGGGGGGGGTACAGTGTGAAGGAAAAAGAAGTCTCTGCAGAAATCTTTTCCCCTCCCTAACATTTGCTGGTTCATATATTTAGTTGGAAATTTGTGTATTTTGAGGCCTTCAAAGTTAGCACAAAGTTATCCTTGGACTTCAATGAGGCCTTCAAAGTTAGCACAAAGTTATCCTTGGACTTCAAATCTAAATTGGTAAATTATTTGTGATGTTGGATTGCCTGATATTATGCAGTTGTGTATGTCATATTTATCATTTAATTTAAAAGTAAGTGTTTATAAATTACTTTGTTCTATGGTAAACCTTGACAATAAACACTTAATGCTTGATAAGCATGCTTGCATATGTCTATATGACAAGCTTAAATAGATCTATCAGATACTTCTTAGAAAAGACTGAACCAAGACAGTGAGCTCACAGCTTAAGATGTTCAACGAATTTCTGAAAATAATTCTGCTAAATTGCAAATTTTACTCTCTTTGAACAACCGACTATGTGGATGTGAGGCCTTCAAATTTGTAAAATTAAATTAGAAATGTGGCCCTATAATTCTGGCATCCATGAAACAATAAAACTGGTTAGAGCCGCTCTGTAACTTTACATAATCTACTTCATTAGCGATAACACGTGGCTTTGTGCTACTCAATGTTGGTGAAAGATTCACGAGGGCGTAATGTTGCTTATGATCTTTTAAATCTACCATTCATGAATAAAAGTACAACAATTTTGTCTACTGCACCAACAATTATTAAAAGATAAAGCGCATTATCTTCTTGATATTATGTGAAATAATCGGAATCTAGAACGACGGGTTCTTCAAAAGTAAGATAACTATATACAGTGTGCAATGTAAAATATATCATATATAACAGAAAATAAATACTTAAAATCTTTAGCACTTAGTTAAAATGCTTATGTGACACTCAAGCATTATAAAGTTCTAGATCCATCTATTTATTCTCTTTTCCAAATTTTATTTGCAGAAATCTTTCCAGGATCTTCTCCGAAAGCAGGAAGGTGATAGAGCAATTTGGGAATATCCATTCGCTGTTGCTGGCGTCAACATCACATTTATGCTTATCCAGATGCTCGATTTGGAAGCTTGTAAGTGTACCATCTACACTCTTTTATATGCTGAAAATTACTGAAGTCTTAAAAAAAATTCCAGTATATATGCTTCTGAATGGGTCCATCTAACGAAAAATGAGATTTGACTGTTGTTACAACCAGTTTCATGTTTGTCAAAAAGCAGTGTTCTAGGCCTTGTGAATCTAAATAGTACTTGTGAAACAGGAGTTATTAGAATGCAGACTCTGTCATGCACGAGTATATATACAACCAAATATACTTAATTTTCCCTGGAAGACTTGTTTCCAAATCACTTTGTTAATTTTGCTTCAACTCTGCAGTAAAACCCAGAAATCTGGTGGGAGCTACTTTCTTGAAGTTTCTTGCAGGTAAATCTTTTACAAGATCTGTCTCTTCTTTCAGTTTTGCTTAACTACTGTTAATTTCCTTTTCATTTTTATGAATTCAGTTATTGTGTTTAGATGCGCCTTTCGTGTTCCTTTGCTGATCTTCTGTGTTAAAAAGTGAAAGTCGATGAATTTCAATTTAGTCCTTTAGAAATGTGAACTTTAACTTGCACCTTTGCTCCTCTAAGCAAGATTTTTCCTTTTTGCAGAAAATGAGTCGGCTTTTGATCTTCTATATTGCATCACGTTTAAGTTGATGGATCATCAGTGGCTTGCCATGCGCGCATCGTATATGGACTTCAATGTATGTACTTTTGGTTTCCGGATATTTAGTTAACTATTTGGAATGTTCAGACTGTGCTCATCTCTAATCCAGTTCGTTTGCGTTTGAAAGAGTTTTCATGCCTCTTTCACTTAAATGCTTTTTTCTTATTTGTTTCACTTTGGCTAGTATATCTTGATATCAAAGAAATGTGTATTCCTTGGCAACAGAGCATAGCTGCAGTTCTGCTTACTGTTGCTTTGGTATAAAGCCTTTAAGAATGTTCCCGCGTTCCATGTTTGTTAACTCTCGCTGTCACTAGTATTATCTTATCTAGTTTACTTGTACTATTACGTGTATTTCTTATCTAGTTGCTTACTTGTTTACTCCTCATACTACACTACTTCTTGTGAAGTAAGAGGCCTGCATTCATGATTTTATATTATGTTATATGTTCTTGCAGACGGTCATGAAGGCTACTCGTCGTCAACTAGAAGAGGAGCTTCTGCACGAAGACATAACACGGCTGGAAGATTTGCCCTCATACAGCCTTCTTAGTCGATAGTGTTTGTAGTCGTGACATTTAAGAAAATGAAAATGGCTTTTGTATGCAAGTTTTGTGGCATCTATTGGTTTTGTTCTTACATTAGTAGCTTTCGGTGGTGGGTGTTACTTTTTAGAAGTCGGCGGAGAGGAAATATGGGGATTATACAGTGCCTGAACTTGGTAATGTAAGAGCAAGTACAATGTACCCTTGTTTCTTGAATTTGGAAAGGGGCAATACTGCTGAGTAGTCTCAATACTGGTGGTAGGAAATCGAAGAATTGTCCTTCGACTACCTTTTTGGTTTAAGTAAATCGAAGGTGGTACCCTTCTATCGGCTATGACAGAGACTTTAGACCAAGACGTGCCTGTGTAAACTAACTGATCGGCGGATATTGGCATTATCTTAAGCTTTAACGTGCGGCCTATGTTCATCTTATCTCGAATCCCATTATTTAGTCTAATTTATATTACCGCAATCATATGATTAATTGAACGGTACAAGTTGTTGCCAACCAACCCATTTGTGAAGTGATGTCGTAGTAAATGAGAAGTCCAAGGAAAAAGGAGAATCGGTCCCTTACCCAAATTAGAGTTTGAACCAGTAAGCATTGGACTTGCTCACGGATGTGTCTGCATCTTTTGAAGTCTTTGGATGATTTAAAGTGTCAATATCTATTGATTGATCTGGAATTCTAGAATCCCCTACAGCACTTCTATTATGCACCAGATTAGTCACCTTCATTTTATCGAGAGGATTCAATTTGAAGAATTGGTAAAGTGCCAGCCACCTGCCACTACACCCCCTTCCCCTTCAGCATTCCCCGGCTGATGGGCATTCAACAGCCGATGAGCCCAAGAAGTAACTATCAAACCGACAGCCATAGCTCTCACCATGCTCCAAGTGCAGTGCAAGAATCCAACTGCAACAATACATTCCGAGCTCTCAAATTTGTTTTTTTTTTCTTCCTATTATCACTATATTACGGAAGCTAAACCTTTTTTTTTTTGTTGTTGTAAGTAATATATCATATTAGAAAAAACAGCATAAAGATAGTGCTGGTTGGTGTGTATAACCCAATTACAACCTGTGTAGATTACTAATAAAGTCTATCACGGCGCCTATGTTGTTAACCTTGATTCTAGCCATGTTACACCAAAAAAGGAGCAAAAAGAAATATTTCCACTTAAGGCTTAGCTATGTTCTCCTCCGGTTTGTGATGCTTTGTGTTTGACCAGCCGTAATTTGTGCAACCCTTGAAGAGAAGAGTGCACCCTGCGGGAAGCACCATTTCATGCCTAGTAAGTACATAATAAAATACCACAGCTAAGGACCTGTTTGGCCATAGATTTAAAATAAATTTGGATTTTATTTGGCAAACACATGTTTGGCTATAGATTTTGCTTACATTTTGGCAAAATCCCAAATCCCATAGCTGGTTTTGGACCAAAATATCACTATTACATTTTTTAAAAATTGTCCCAAACATTTGTATTTTATAAAAAAGCCCACCATTTATTATTTTGTAACAATGTTGCTTCATCTTCTTGGCCATCTGATAGTGTATCATGTAGTTCATTATAAAAATGATAATTTTATATCAAATTTATTTATGTTCAGAACTATGGTTTGCAATAATATAATGAATGTTATTGATAATGGTACTGCCGGGCATTTGTGATAGTTTTTAGAACTTGTAGATATAAGTCATGTTTTATATTATTCCAAAATAAATTTGAGAAATATGCTTTCTGATGTCCAACCACATTTTCATCTTCAAACCAAACTTCACCAATTTGGGGCTAAAAAGAAACACCGAATAGGCTAAACTTGGAACTTGTTTCAACCCAAATCCCAGCGGACACCAAGCTTCAAAACTAAGCTGGGCAAATCTGATTGTACCAACAATATGATAGAAACCAAATTCGCATCCACACGCACATCTAATGCACCTAAGTGCTACACCTAGAGCTAATTGCGCACACAACACAAAATGGCCTCTGTAGCATTCATAGCCACGGTACAGTATAGGAACATTGTTTAACCTTCGGCTGATTTTTTTGAAAGATGTGGAGCTAACAAATGATAAAGCTCAATATCACGAAAGTAATACTGATCACATTAAATATTCTTGAAATAGGGAATGACAAAACTTCAAACAACAAACTTCTAGACTCAAATCACATCCAAAATTCATAAGTTACACCCAAACAGGCAGGCCATTAGTAGAGTTCTAAAGTTAAAGACTTTTCTACTCATAGATCCAAGAGTGAAGGCTGCTCTGCCACTCTGCAACTCCTTCAGGGAACCAGAGAGCAATTTCCTTCCTTGCACTCTCGACTGCATCACTACCATGAATAACGTTCCTACAATCAAACAGGTTCTTTCAGGTCAAGCACCATGGTTAAGATCAAAGGTAAATATACCAATTAGGCCAACTCAATAAGCATTAAAACCATTAAACTGACACATGCAGGCTGATCACCAACGTAACAAAGTATTAGAGCTTGAAGTGATTTAGTTAAAATACAGAACTCTCAAGAGACAGATGTTAATAACAAAATTTAAGCCAGGCTGTTAAAGCAGATAGTATTAGTCCGACCTATTGGCAAAGAATAATGCTTGTTCAGATGGGGCACTCGGTGTTTTACCTGCCAATGTCAATAGCATAATCACCACGGATTGTACCAGGAGCAGACTCCAATGGGTTTGTTGCTCCAATGATCTTCCTGCCAGTGGTAACTACACCCTTACCTTCCCAGACCATTGCAACAACGGGGCCAGAGATAATATAATCAACAAGCCCACTAAAGAAAGGCTTAGCAGACAAGTCTGCGTAATGCTTTTCAGCAAAGGCACGATCCACGGTGATGAACTTCAAGCCTATGCCCAAACAAAGTAAAATAATGACACAGATTAATCGGAATAGTCAAAAATAAAACCCCAAAATAAAATAATGAGTGATTGGAAAATCGTTTTTATACAGCAACCATTTTGCAAGTCACCCCATACATATTAAACATACAATGGACAAGAATTACTCACCAATTTACAGACAAATTACACGGAAGAAAGAGAAATAAAGGAAACAAAGTAAACCATTAGTTTACTTAAAATCATTTCAATTCACAACTGGAGCTACAATCCTTTTATTTATCAATTAGGTAAAAGAATCAAAAATCAACATCACCACTGAGTGGGTCCTGACTAATAATAAGTCTACGTTTTGTTACTAATGATGGGGCGGACTATAAGGAAATCGTTTTTAACTTTTAAGTACTAATAAAGCAGCATAAGACTAATCAATCATACTTCTCATAATTGAGTAGCAAAGATTACCTTTCAAAGAGAATCCTTTCTTTTCAAATCTTCCGATAATCTCACCAACCTGAACCATAACATAAAATCAATGCATAGCTAAGGTAAACAAACAGAAGAAAATTGACAAATTCCAACCCCTAATGAACAAAAATATCAAAACAAACACAAAAATCGAATCAATCAAAGCTCTAGCTTATAGATCTAAACGGAAAAAGTGTATAGATAAAAAGAAAAAATAATTAGGAAGACAAACCAGGCCACGTTGGACACCATCAGGCTTGATCATGATGAAAGTCTGCTCCATTTTCGCTTCTTTGATGTTCTGAAAAATGGTCTATGGATTTGGAATAGCAGTACGCAGCACTCGGCGAAGAGTGGAGATGGGGTATTTATGTGGGTTTGTGGCTCTTTCGACAGCAAACCCTAATTGTTCTTTGGAATATTCTGTTTTTGAGTTAGAAAACAAAATCCACGAAATTTTATTTAATTTGATCGAGTGTAAGAAAATTTTAATTTAATTTAACATAATTGAAAGGGATTATGTAGGTTGTAATCTGTTTGACCCAAAATTTAGATCTAAGTTTAAACAATTAGATTTTCTAATAAAAATAAAGTTAACTTTAGCCATTGTTAATATCCAAAATTTTATTTAACTAGTACCATGGTAAAATGTCATATAATCTGTAGGAATAATTAGGGGTGTTCGTCGGTCGGTATGGTACGGTATTTAAACATTTCGGTTCGGTATTTTCGGTATTCGGTTTCTTAAAATCCTATACCAATACCGTACCTAATTAAATTCGGTATGGTTCGGTTTTTCTCCTTTCGGTTTCGGTTTATTCGGTTCGGTAACTTCGGTTTATTCGGTTTGAATGCATAAAGCCATACACTCTAATATTCTTAATTAAAGTACTCAAAAATAAAAAACTAAAAATGTTTGTTGACAAATATTTTGTCCAAAACTAGTAAATATCGACCCAAATAGAAAAAATTGTACATAAAAGAATATTTGATCATTAGAAATGTCTTGTTACTTGTTTAGAGTTAATTGATGAACTTTGAGAGTAAAGGAAAGTAAAATTTTAGATTTTTTATATTTATGTTATAATTGATAATATGTGATTTGTGTAATATAATATATATTTCGGTACGGTATCGGTATTTCGGTATTTTATCTTAAAATACCAAATACCAATTTTTTTAATAAACTTGAACCAAATACCGTACCAAATACCAAAATACCGTATACCAAATACCAAAATTTTCGATTTCGGTACGGTAATTCGGTATTTACCAAATTATGGCCACCCCTAGGAATAATAGTGAATATGTAACAATAAACAATATTTAATAGCCCAAATACAAAGTGAATAGCATTAAACAGCAATAAATGGTATATTATTATTATTATTATTATTATTATTATTATTATTATTATTATTATTATTATTATTATTATTATTATTATTATACAAATGCAAGAGAGATGACCGAAAAAGGATGAAATCGTGTGGTATTTCCTCTGACAATGATAAATGATTGATGAGCCTTTGAATATTCGTATCCTCCTTGTATCGTGGGAGAAAAGTTAGATCAGATTTCAAGAAAAAATGTCTTTGATAAAGCAAGAATCTCTAGAGAATGTCAAATTGTTGTTCTTTTACAAATGAGTGTCCAATCCCAATATTAACACTGTCTATTTCTATTTATTATAGGACATGTGCCACAAAACCTTAATAGTATAAATTTAGGAATATTCACTGAAATATTCTCTTTACAGTTACATCCCCAAAACTAGTCGTTACTGCTCCGTTAAGGAGGGTACTCATCCTAGACATCGATCTTTGTTGACTCCTTGACCTAGTTCTTATCTTTGGTCATAACATTTTGACTTTGAATCCATCTTTTGTTGAAATCATACCGATAACACGTGGCAACCTTCGAAGGCTCTCTGCTGACTGGCCCAAATATAACTAGGATAATTTTTGCCAAACAGTTAGTCCCTTCGTTCGTTAAAGTCGTCTTCGTGGGCGAGTTCAGTGAGCGGATAATATCACTCAAGGTCGTCTTCATGGTTGAGCTCACTGAACAAATAACATCGGTCGTGGTCTTTGTAATGAGCAGGCGACATGGCTCTTTGTGGGCCGCGTATTTCAAATCCCTTAAATTTTTCGGGTGATTTGTTGGAATCATCTGGCCCAAGAGAGGCGGTGACGTCATGACGTCATGCGTCATAATGATGCTAGTTCCCGACACATTGCATCGATTTGCGTGTAACCTTTGATTGAATTTATCGTTTCGATTCTGGTGCCAATTGTGATGAGCCGTTTCGGGCTTGGTGCCTATTATGATAAATCGTTTCGGATTTGATGCCTCAATCTCTATAAATAGGGGTGGCCAAACCTGAATTTGAACCTTCCTTTCTTCCAAACTTTTGACTCTAAACTTCCTCTCTGAACTTCCCTTTTCTGCTTCGTTGCTCCATACCGCATTCCAAACTTTCTTCCCAGTATTCTTCTTTACTTTTCATAAATATGTTGAATTTCCCATCTGACGTTGGTGAAGGGAGTCACGCCATTCCGCTGGCGGTTGTGTTCCCTGCTCACGGGGAGAGTGTAGTTGCCGTTAGGGGTGTCAGTGGTTCGGTTCGGCCGGTTATTTTATAAAATTTATACCATACGAATTTTTCGGTTATTCTATTATGTATAACCAAAATTAGACTTTTCGAAAACGTCCCAATCATGTCGATTTCTCTTCGGTATCGGTACAGTTCGGTTAATTTTCGGTATTTTTTTAATATCATGTAAAATTCACTAGTAGAAGTGGAATGCAATAACATACGTTCTTTTATAGGACTTAGCAAAACTTTCTAGACATTTTTACTGTTTAAAAGGGTGATGAATTTAAAAAAAAGATGGCTATAGTATAGATCCATCAACTATTCTACAACAGTGTAAAAGAAATCAAACAAAGGCAAAAAAAATATAAATCACACGAGTTGAAAGATATACCAAGTTGGGACTCAAGAATAAAGTCTATAGAAGATTAAATATTTAAAAAGATAAATCTAAATTATATGAAAGGAAACATATTCAATACATTGTAGTTTGCTACTCATAATTGCTAGAATACTTTGTGTCTTGCTAATAAAGATACTTGAAATAACTTAGTTTAAGTAGAAGTAACATAATAGGTTTTAGGAATTAGTATTTTGAGTTTAATTGCTTGTTGGCATGTAATAGTTTTCATAATTCCAAGGCCCAAAGAAAATTTAATACATTATTATTTTTAAACTTACTAAATAAATATATTTTCTATATGTAAAACTTATTCGGTACGGTTCCGTATTTTTTCGGTTTATTTTTATAAAATAAAAATCTACACGAATTATTGGTGCGGTTATAGATTTATATAAAAACCTACGGTTTCTTAAAAAGAAACCTAAAATCGGTTCGGTGCGGTACGGTTCGGTCGGTTTAGTCGATTTTCGAATATCCATTGACACCCCTAGTTGCCGTTGTAGAGGATGAAATGATCCATCGGTGGAAGAGATCATCCCTCACAACCCTAAAGCCGGGTCCGATTTCCAACGATCGCCGGACGCGGCACCTAGAAATTTTCTATCGACAATGGAGCCCAAACAATTAGCTGAATTTAAAGCCAGGTTCGGCCTCCCCAACTATATCGAACTGATCCCTGCTGAAGAGGATGAAGTGCACGTTCACCCCGTCCCGGGTACTGCGCTTTGTATGCCTACCGGTTCACTATTGGCTATTCGTTTCCTCTTCTCCCGCTGATGGAGGAGTTTTACCGCCACTATGGAGTTTGTCTTGCTCAGCTCGCCCCTTACATTTACAAGGTTATCAAGATGCTGACCAAATTTGCTGAGCTCGCCGGAGTCGAGGTGACAGTGCGGCATTTGATTCACCTGTTCGCTCTTGGGTTCTATAGAGTGACGATGTTGAACCTTCATCACCGTGGAGGCAAGTGTTTGGTGGTGAGGATGGACGACAAGGCCAACCACCAATTCTGGCTTGACTTCTTTAACGTCAAAGCTGAGGCCATCGTGGCTAATGTCGACGGCTTCCCTGAGGCTTGGAATCATACACGTAAGTGTCCAAGTTTCTTTTGGTTTTACCTTTTGCATCTCTTCGCCTATTTCGGGCTAGTTAAGTAATTCTTCTTTCCTTGTAGCCAACAACCATCCTCCCCTCCTATCCGTACGTATCACCTACTGGGTCGGTAGATTCTCCCCCACGCCGTAGGAATTTATGATTGGCCGAGCTTTTTTAAGAAGTTCAGTCCGGCTCTCCCTTTGGGAGGTAACTTCTCTTTTTGGATGTAATTGTTGTTTCCCTTTGTTGTATGCTGGCTTGCTTCGTTGTAAACTTTTATGTTTCTTGCTTTCCTAGGTCCAGTTATGGGGTCTTCTCGAAGGAGCAGCCCTCTTTTAGGAGAAGGGCTGCTACGCATTCGGTTTCTGCCCCGTTGTGGCTACTGCGCCTTCTGCACCCGCCCCCGTTCTGACTATTGCGGCCTTCGAATCTTTCCCCATCCCAACTACAGCCTCCGCTCCTCAGCTATTTTTCGTCGGTCGATAAGGACGATGAATTCTCCCCCGATGATGGGAATCTAAGGCTTCGCAAGAGAAGAGCCATGGACGCCAGGGGGGAGGGGGATCCTGGTGGTCGTTGACTCGTTGGAGGGTGATTTTATTCTTTAAGAGATGGCAACGACATATATTGTAGAAGGTATTGGGGCGAGCTACGAGGCCCCACAACTGGAAGAGGCGGACGTGGACGTGCTGGTGCATCCCGAGGGGAGACGATCGTGGAGGGGGCACTTGATAGCGGCCCCACGCTTTCGAGGCAAAAGGATGCTTCATCCTCCAGGTCGGCAATGGATGTTTCTTCGCTAGTCGGTGACAAAGGGAAAGTCATCGCCGAGGAGGACGATGAGTCGGGTTCTGACATGGACCTAGACGATCTAAGAATGATCGATGAGGGGCTCATCTAACTCGAGGTAAGGATGGAGGGAGGTTCTAGTACCATCACGATCCCAATGGATCGTGATTTGTCGGTAAATACCGATGAGGTAGTACCTGCTCTTGGTCTTTTATTTTCTGATGTCGAGGGAGACCCTCAAGAAGATAATCGATGGTACTTTGTCGAAGAGTATCGCCGGTCTCGCTCTCAGGGTTAGTACGATTGTTATCCGCCCTTTTCCTTATGACTGAGCTTATTTTTAAGTTCTAACTTCTTTTCTTTGATTTGCAGACGGTCATTCTGGAAATTGAAAGTACTCGTAGTGAGAAAAGACGTAAAGAAATTTACGTGAAGTTGAAGAGAAAGTATATAGAGTACTGTGGGAAGTACCGGGATCTTTGAGGGTTGCTTCGTGAGGGAGGTGATGTGCTGGACTTAAGAG